ACCCTAAACCCTAAACAAAGCCCTGAACCCTCAAGCCGTAACCGTAACCCTCAGCCTTGAACTCTAAACCCGAAACCCTAAACCCTGAACCCTAAGCCCTGAACCCTGAACCTTAAACCCTAAACCATTATAAATCCTAAGCCCTTTACCCTAAGTGCTGAAGCCTAAACCCTAAATTCCTATGGCTCAAATTGTTTTGCTGTCTCCGGCGGCAGCTGTCACTGCACTGAAAGGCTAGCAGCAGGCTCAGGGCTGTGGACTGGTCAGCCGAACACATCGTTTAGGGTTACGGGTAGCGTTACACTTCGACCTGCAAGCTCAGGTTGGCTAGCAAAACCCTTTTCCTGGTCTTCACCTGTGCCGCATGTGCCTGTTGATCTCTGATCATTGAGGAATGAAACTGGGGTTCAAAATGAGGCGCCCCACGCCTGCAACCCCGGACAGAAGCTACGTCATGTTGGCTTCCAGCCAACTGCAACTCACCACGGCGACTCATTCGACGCGGCGTCCTCGGACTTTTCCTCCTTCTTTTTCTTGGAGCTGGTCTTCTTGTCCTTCTTTTTGTTCTTCTTGCTCTCCGAGCTGCCCTTGCTCTCGGACTCATGCCCCGACTCCTCCTCTGAACCCTCCTTTTTGCGCTTGGTGCCACTCTTCTTGGGATTCTTGGGGGGATTCTTGGGAGTTTTGGGCTTCTTGGGCGGGTTACCACCACCGCTCTCGTTCTGTGTCTCCTGTTTCCCCAGTGTTTTGCTGGCTTCTTCCCTGTAAAAGGGGTGCCCAACTTCGCTGAACTTCTCGAGAACGTAGTTGCTCAGGCGTTCTTCCAGCGCTGTAATGTGCTTTTCGGAGCAGCCAAAACTCAATGTGGGAATTCGTAGGTCCAACATGGCCTGCTCCAACTCGCCTTGGGCTGCCGTCAAGTTGATCAGGGCTGCGACGTTGTGAGACTTTGCCAGATCCTCGTAGAACTGCTGTGGCAAGCGAGCACCGCTGAAAATGCTTTCGGTGCTGTCCTCTGCCTTCTCAAGCTCTGCCGCGCCTGGGATGTCATGGAAAAAAAGGGGTGCAAGGATCTAAAGTTTAAGCTGGGCTCCAGGGCTCGGAACTGCGGCATTATTGAGATGAGGCTCGCGTCTCGGAGGCTGTCAGCGTCAGCTTGTAGTCGCCCAGGACTTTCTCTTTCTCTTCCCTGCTAAATGTGTGAGAAAGGCGCTAGTACCGGTTTAAGGTTGACGGTTTAGGGTTTAGAGTTTCCGGTCTAAGGTTTAGGGTTTAGGCTTCAGGCTTTAAGGTTGATAGGGTTTACGGCTTAAAAACGTTTGGGTGCTAGGGTTCAGGGTTTAGGGCTATAAGGGTTTAGGGTTGAGGGTCAAGGGTTAAGAGTTTCCCCAAAACCCCCCGTCGCCTAGTTGGCGCCGTCCACAGGGCACTCGCCGGCAGTGCGGACACCCACCCCACCACGTCTCCTGTGTTGTAGCCCGCGTAGACGCTGCGTTTCTTTTCAGGGATCATGTCCGGGACCAGGACCTTAGGCGTGTACCACAACACCATGCTCCACTGCGAGTACGCATCGCTGTTGCGGATCCTGGCTTTACGCTTGCGCACACTGTCCTCGTTCCACGCCAGGTTCGTCTTCTTCTCGAAGCAGTCCAACTCCTCCCTGCGGCTGCTTTGCAACTTGAAGACCTTGCGAATCTCCTTCAATGTGTCTTTTTCACGACCGCCTTCGTGACAGAAAACAGCCCAGCCCTCGGCGGGCACCGTGGCCTCGCCAAGGTCACTCTTGCTCTGCCCTCCTGTGGCCATGATGCACCCATGGATCTGGCCGCGCAGCTTGTCCGCGTCCAGAGGCCACTTTCTTCTCAAACCCTTCTGAGCGAAGGGCCCCGTACTCTCGCCGGCTACATCCACATCGAAATGGATCACACCCAGCCTAGCCAAAAGCAAAAACAACATTTAAACCCTAAACCCTTTAATAATGTACACATACATTTAGAGGATGCTGCGTTACGATTAGACTCCAACCACACTCACTGACTGGCCTGTTCTCCTTGATCTCCACTTGAGTCAGCGTGCTTTGCTCCACGGCGAGCTTCATGTTGGCCTGGGTGGCTGGTCGCACCTCTAGCGTGATGTAACGCCGGACCGTGCTGTTGGCGACAGATGCCCAATACCCCGGTGAATGCTCAGGGAACTCGGTTGCGGGTCGCCGCATGGCCGTGACGGCCGCTGAGGTACCACCATCAGTTTCCGCCTCATCCTCTGGTTTGTCCTCCTCTTGCTCCTTCTGCTGCGCTTTCAGCTGTGTGATCTCCTTCTCCCGCGTGTCGCAGACTTTCTTCCATTCCATCTGGATGGTCTCGTGGTCAAGAACCTCCTGGACGTTCTTCCGCGCGCGAGCAATCTGCTTCAACCCGTTGTCATACTTCTTCTCATAAACAAGATCCTCAGGGACACCCCCCACAAAATCCAGCACCACCACCAACACCCCCAACACGAACACCACTCCTAAGCCCGAACCCTTAACCCTAAACAGTTGAACCTGAAAGCGCAAACTCTAGATCCCGGTTGAAGGTTTGTTCGGTTCTAGGGTTATACGGTTAACAAACCTTAAACCCCTAAACCCGAAATAACCCGGTCCTTACCCAAAACCCTTCCGACCCAAAACCCTAGAGCCTAAACCCTAAACCCTAAACCCCAAGCCCAAAACCCTAACAACGCAGCCAGGCCTGCAGAAAGGTCAGCGCTTCCAGCCCGGAACACTGCAGCTTTCCCTGCCACGCGAGGTTCTCACCCAGAAGGAACTGGCGATACTTGCTGTGGTCCTTAAGCGCGGACTCGATGAGCGAGCGATCCTCTGGCAGGAACTGTTCACGCGGCAACACATTGCTGAGCCAGTGATCCAAGCAATCCTTCTTCAGCTCGCTCACAGCAATCCACCCGGCGGCATGCTTGTCTCCAAGCAGCCAGCCTTTCACGACCTCCTCGTTTCGAATTCCTGCAGCAACTACCTCTCTGTTGCGGAGAATTCCATGGTAGATGCTCTGCACCACCCACTCCCTCTTGCGGGCCGCTGGCTTTTGGGCCAGCAGCGCTAGGTTGGTCATCTTGTTCAAGCAGCTTGAGGACTCGTACATCTCCTGCAAATGGAGCAGAGGTACCACCATCTGGTCTCCTGTGAACTCCCTCGCCACAGCCAGGCAGCTGGCCAGGAAGTTCTCTGTGAGTTCTTCCTTCTTGCCTGCCCCCACAAAGGACAGTCCAACACTGCGGAACTTCTCCAGCAAGTCTCTCGTGCCGTCGAACTTTGCTGCCTCATCATCCTCCCATGTCTTTTTCAAAGCTGCCACTTCCAAGGCTGTTTGATAGGCTGTTCGGCTGAGGCTTTCGTAATCTTGCAGAACTGCGTTCCGCGCCTTCCAGTTCTCGACCCACAAATCCTTCAAGGGGAGATCCTCGAACTTCATCGTGATGGAGCGGAAAATGACCATCCAATTCTTCAAATTCCGTGGCAGGTCGCACGCGGCGGCAGCCAGCAACGCGTGGGGCAAACCTTCCGGCGAAATCATGCGGCAACCGCTTGGAAGGTCAGGCTGCGCCTCGGTGCGGGCGCAGGGGGCGATGCATCGCAACATCTTGTCGAAGAAGCGAGGAGGAACGCCCTGGTCCAAGTCTGCCTGCGGGTACATGAACTCTGCAAGGTCTTCCACACTCTTGCGCGACAGCGGCACGCTTGGAGAAGCTGTTTGCAGGAAGTCAAGCCAGAACAAGTTGGCCCCGGCCACGTAAGTCCCTTGGTTGCCCATGGACCTGGTAGCTTCGTCTTTCGCCCACGGGGCCTCAGAACGCAAACGCTGTTACGCGAGCCACGCGAATTTTTACTCAACATCTGACCTGAAACACCACCTCCCTGACCTTTCGAATACTTGCACGCACTGGCATCCCCAAACCCCGCCTGAATGCCGCCCTGATCAACCTTCCCTGCCACTTCAATGGCAAGTGCAGGCTGCTTGGCGAAGTCGTCGCCAAAATGCTTCAGGATCTTGGCGATATCGCTCTGCACCATCTGCCAATACTCACCTGTGCCTGCCGACGCGGAAGGCCCTGCCGCCTCGGCTGCTGCGGTACCACCAGCAGCGGCGGGGCCCGCCCCTTTCTTTGCAGCTTTCTTCTCCTCTGCAGCTTTGGCCTTCATTTGCTTGGCCGTTACTTCCAGATTCGTCTTGAAATCTTTCAGCTCGACCTCACACAGTGACACAGCAGGCTAGCTAAGAAATTCCTTTGACCGACAAAACATGTCTACAACGGAATTCGCGCAAGCAGCCTTCTTCTGCGCTGCTGTCAGACTTGCGTCACCTTTCAGCTCCTCCTGCTTTGCATCCACTTGGCTCTTGATGGTCGCCTGCGTCGCAGAAGTGTCAACATCAGAAAGAACTAGCGGGATCGGAACAAACGTCGAAACACGGCTGGCACTCGGTAGCCTGCTCGTCTTGTGTAAGACGCCAGGCACTCCAGTTGGCAGGTACACCAGGAGGCAAAACAGCACTCTTCTTCGGCGGCATGGCTCCAGCAGGTTTCCAAGTTGTCTTCTGCAAGTCTTTGCTACGGCACGAGCCCGCTGACCCAAAATTGGCACTTCTTAGTGTCAACGAAACTGGTCTGCCACGCACTCACACACACTCACACACGCACACACACACTCAGACACACACGCACACACACACACACAGACACACGCACGCACACACACACACACACAATCACACACACACACACACATCCGCACACACACACACCCAAACGCCCGCCCGCACGCACAAACACGCACACGCACACACATGCGCCCGCACGCACGTGCTCTATTCACCTGCCGCTCTGGTTGCAAAATCAAGCTTCAAGGGCCATGTGAGTCACCATCTACAAAGTTGGCACGCACCTGTTTTGCTGGGCAGCCGTTCTCCGCGCAAGTCGCGACACAGCTGAGGCTCTGGCCTTTGCTGCGGTACCACCAACAGCCAAGCGCAACTGAAATCAAGCCCTTCAAAAGAAACGATTGGCCTCTCGCCGTACATCCTTAGCAGAAACGACTTCCATCCATGGCTTGTTCTTGGCGTTCACCCCCACGCTCGCCAAAGCAGTCGCCAAAACAGCGCTCAGCACGTTGACGGACATGCCGTCGCCTAAGGCTGCTCCGACTTTGCTCTCCGATTGATCCGTGGCGTCCAGCAGTGGCTGCAGCAGCTGGTCGGGATAGCCTTGCAAGCGCAGCGCCTCCGAGATAAGGAGTCTGCGCTTCAACCTAGGGACGTAGAAGCCAATCGGTCTCTGCTGCAAGCGTGCTTTTGTCAAACACGGCGTCCTCCCAGTCCGGCCACACTGAAACTTGGCGCTGCTACCTACATCCAGAACGCAAGCCTTCTCCCATAAGTCTGCTTCCGACACGCCTTTGGCTCTTGTGTGTTTGCTCAGGTCAAGAATCTCCGTCCCGGACGTACCACGATCCAGGAACTGCTTCAGCGCGTTGACTGAAAGGTTTCGCTTTTCTGGCCACTTGAAACCTTTCACCTTCTGATCTTCACGAATGGCGACCATGTAAAGACGTCGCCTGGACTGGGGAATACCGTAGTCCTGGGTATTCAAAACCTTCATGTGCAAGTCGTAGTTCAAGCCTTGGAAGACTTTCTCGAGAATCCTACGATATGGGCTATTCTTCTTGTGCAGAACTCCAGTCACGTTTTCCAATATGCACAGCGACGGTCGGTGGTGACACACGTACTGCAGCGCGCTCAACCCCACCAGACCTCGCCCGGCCTCGTCCATAATGCCACGGCCATGGCCCAAACTGCTGAAAGCCGGGCAAGGATAGCCGGCGATGTAGATATCGCTGGCCGGAGAGTCCTCGTGATTCCGATCGAACACACTCTGGGGCTTGTGGGTCCCCTCCAGCTTGATGCCACAAGCTTTGGCCACTGCTTTGTAGAGACTGATCTTTGAAGAATCGATCTCTGACCAGCACACAGGTTTCACTCGACGAGACAGCCCCAGCAGACGCAAAGCAACCAAATCGGCACCCATGCCGGCGCAGTCGCTGCAAAGGCGGAGCTTCGCGTTGACCAGGTGGCGCTTCTCCGGCTTCGTGCCTTTTGCTGCCTTCACCAAACACTTCAACTTCTGCTTCAGGTCCTCAAACTTCTTGCACTGTGTCTCTTCCTTGCGGACACCGCTGGCCTTTTCTTTCTTTTTGCGGGTACCACCACCGCGGCGGCTGGTTGCTTGGAGGTGGTTTGCTAAAAACTTGCCCATGGCTAGGCAACTTCCAGCTCGAGCCTCAATAAAGCCTTGAAACCCTAAATGCAAAACCCTAAAATACCCCTGTACTTGACAATGAAACTTGTTAGTTAAAGCACGGTGATGTATTAATTTATTGAATCGCAGGTACAAATTTTGAAGCATGACCCTTCAGATCCTTAAACCCCAATTGCCATATAAAGTAAAATGTTCCATCTACATATTCTGAATTAACATGCCTGACCTGAGCCGCCAGCTCTGAGAGGTCTGGGCTGCAGTGACAGATGTCGCACCGAAAACAAATGCTAAACGTCACGGCTACAAAATACTTAAACGGCGCTCTTACGCGGACCCGGCCCAGACCAGATTGCAAAAAGATTTTAAATTTAGCAAGCCACCCACCCACCTGAACACGCTAAACGTCGCGGCTAGAACGCGGTAAACGGCGCTCTTACGCGCGGCCGGCCCAGTCCGGATTGCAGAAATTGTATTTTTGCAAGCCCCCCCAGTGTCCTTACGCGCTCCCAGCCCAGGCCGGCTTTGCGTAAGGACAGAGGGGGGTTCCCACTGTCCTTACGCGGAGCCGGCCCAGTCCGGGTCTGCGTAAGGACAGTGGTATTTGTGTAAGGACACTGGAAAATTTGCAAACGTAGCTTTTACCAGTGTCCTTACGCGGACCCAGCCTAGGCCGGCTTTGCGTAAGGACAGTGGGGGGTTCCCACTGTCCTTACGCGTAGCTGGCCTGCAGATTTAAGGGGCTACGTGTTAAACGCCGGGCTACGTGCTAAACGCCTGGAGAACGAAGGACGGTCATTAAATTAACTTCAGCGCTGCAGTCAAGATCTCCTCATTGCGAACTTTAGCATCTTTTCTGTCACATCGGGCTGCACGTGCCTGTCAGACCCTGTTCTGATCACCAACAGGGGCCACCCCAGCAGTCAAATCAAGCTCGCCAGGCTCAGCGTCAAGAAACTACACGCTGAAAAGACGAACCTTAGTGCTTCCTATAATAGAATCCCTCGGGCTTCAGGCTCAAGAGTAAGTGTATTTCAGCCAAAGCGAACTTGATGACCATCCCCTAAACATAAACTAATTATTGCAGATTCCTGACTGGGAGGGACAGAAGCACCTCGACGCCAGTCTCTGCCGAAACTCCTCTTCTGTGCAAATCAAGGTCCCTTTCTTGTGCTCCTTCTTGACGGCTTTCAGCTCTCCTTTTGTGCAGAGAATCACATCGCAGACGCGAGCATTCAGGGTTACAGACCATCTCGACATGGCCCCAACACTGCAAGCGAACTTGATTATCTTGGCCATGCACTTGTGATGCTGTTGGAAAGATCTGGTTAAGTGGATGGCGGTGTCCTTCAGCTGCGTTGCCGCCTCATAACAAATGAGGTATACCCCTTGCATGGTACCACCAACGCGCTGGATATAGTTGCTGGAAAGCAACTTGCCTCCCATGAGCAGAGCCATCATGTGGCACTTTCTTTCTGGGTCGTTTGCATCGACCACGAAAATCTTCGCGCCCCTCAAGTCGCTCGTGACACTTCGTGCCCCTGTGGCCAGCAAACTTGCTCGGAAACGTTGCTCATTGGCCTCTGACACCCATACATCTGCGTTCATCACGCAGTCATGGAACCATGAGGCAGGTTTCGGCTCAGACGCTGCCTGCAAAGTCAGACGGGCGCGGCTCAGCCGCTGGATCCTTTCTGAGTCCGTCTTGGCTGCTGTCTTCTGTCGCTTCGCCAACTCTTTTTCTGACATTCTCTCCTCTGGCAACAGCAACCCGTCTTCTTGAGCTTCTAGCAGCCGCTTGGTAAACAGCCGCTGCTGCCGCTGGGCCTCTTTCTGCGTGTCCGGCGTGAGATCGTCCACAGTTTTTGTTCTTGAGGTCGGTCGCTGCGGCGTCTCCAAGGCTGACGAAGCAGCCACACGCTCGTCCAGCTCGTCTCGGCGCTTTCGGATCCAAGCTGTCTCTGTGCCCGCGGTACCACCAGCTGACCTTCCAACACCCGCGTCAAAACGTTTCCTTTTCCTCTCCCTACAAATGCCTTTGCCCAAGGCATACAAAGCTCGAGCCTGCTCAATGAGCTCCTTCTCCTCTTTCTCCGATCCCTTGTATGATAGCCCATGGCAATTCCGCACGAAAGTGCTCAATTTCCCCCTGTTTCGTTCCAGGTGGCTCCGCTCGATCTTCGAGAAATTCTGTTCGACGCCAGAGGAAGACGCCGTCCAACACAAGTAAGCTCTCAGAACCTCAGCTGGCTTCAAAAATGCAACCAATAAATGATTGCTGCTGTTAAATTAAGCAAGGTGCCGGAGCAATGCAGTCGCATTCCTTACGACCACAGGCTCGCTCATACGCAAAAGCCCAAGCCGCGCGGTTGTCGCAGCCAGACTGGCTCTGATGCGCACTTGCGATGCCACGCAAGTCCTGGAACTCTCGCTGCAGTGTCGCTGCGGGGACGCTGTAGACCTTTGCCAGTCGCTCTAGACTAGGATGCGTGTTGCCGCGTGCCTGGGTACCACCACAGGCTTCGGCAGCAGGGCGGCGACGCTGAGAATAAAGGTTGAAAATGTTGAAGCTCATGACAATGTCGAAATGCGGAAACTCTGCCTTCACAACTTCCTTGCACAACACCACAGAGTCTTGCATGCGTTCCAGAGCACGTCCCTGAGCAATCCGAAGAGACCTGCTTGTTGGCGCCAACGCGCGAGCCCCGCTTCCGTCGAAAAGAAGTAAGCCTCCACCCTGCAGTAGCTTCAAGGCATGCGATGTGAAACAATGGATATTGAAACACTCGGCCGCGTCGCCGGAATACATTGCCTCGAACGAAGGGGATGGGGGGGTGGTGACTCTCCAAAAATGCCAATTCAATCTGAAATTCCAATTAAACCCACAGACCAGATTAAACCAAGCTCTACTTCAAACCTACCCAAACAGTTTTACCGCTGCATCTCAAAACCTCCGGCCTCCAACCGCTGGACGAACAGTGCTACTTGTTCGCTCTGCTGCGCCACGTCCATGTCCTCGTCGTCCAGAAATCTCGTGAGCTGAATGCATGTGTCAGCCATGTCTGCAAGCATGCCCAGCAGCAGGAACTTCTCCGCCGTAAACGACTTCACAAACTGGGCCGCCCAAGAACTGTCGGCGCCTGGTCGCGCGGACACGACACGTGTCAAGACAGCACAGATGGCGTCCATGTGCAGGACCATCCTGCCCAAAGGCTTGGAGAAGGAACAAAAACGGTGCTGCGCCGCTGACAGCGTGGTACCACCAACGCCCTTGGACTTGCGCACCTCCTCTTCAAACCACGCAGAGTAGGTTGTGGAACGCCAAATTTTCTGGCACACTGACTCCTTGCCGGTGACGGCTTCCTGTTTCAGCCGAACATCTAAACTTTCAATATTTAGGGTTTCAGGTTTCCCTAGGGTTTAGAGATTTAAGGCATATGTTTCCTAACGAAGTCCAACTCGACTCGCAATGCAAACAACAAACAACGTCCTTGAGCAACTCCGAAAGTGAGGTGTCTGCGCCCCACGGTCTGGACAAAAGGCGCTGCGAGGCATGTGCTCGGTCTCTTCCGATGATTTTCGTGTTGGGGAAAATCTTGCTGACATCCGCTCTCAGTGCAGCTCGCTTTCCGCGCCCTATGTCTTGGGCCAAAATCTCAGCTGAGGCACAGTCTGTGACGATCATCTCGGTTTGCTTCCGGATATTCGCCACCACCTCCCTGTTCACCTCCGCCACGGCACCCTTGAAGCCCCGGGCTGGCTCGTGTCGCTCGGTCGCAAAGGTCTCAATGCACTGCCTCGTCGCGGCAACAATGTCTTCTGCAGATTTGCCTGAAGACAACTCCGCCACGCCCAAAAGTCCTGAGGAGACAACCATGTCCTTGCTGCATGCTCTATATCTCACCATGAGATACCCATGCCTCTCGTCCCGGACCATGATGATGGCACGAGCCGCCTGCAAGTGCTTGCGAGCATTCTGCAACATGCTCTCAGACAAGCACCAACGCATCAGGCTCGTCTTGTCGCTGTTCTTCTGCTTGCGAGCGCTACAGCCTTTTTTCAAGTCTTCTAAACATTTGCCAAACTCTGTCTCCGACGGCGCTGCAACAGAAACGTGGTTACCACCAACGCAGCTGTCGAGGTGAAGCAGCGCTTGCTGATGGAACCTCGACTCGGCATGTCTGCGACACCTCCAGAGACTGAAAACGCCCTTGGAGCTTAACAGTTTCACGCGGAACTGCGCAAATGGCGAGTTCTCTGCTTCCGCGGCCTGTGCCTCGTCTAACGACTTCATGAAGGACCGGCAGAGCACGCAACCCATCCTTGTTGCCGGTGGTGCTCGTCCTTTTTTTCGTTTACGAGTGGCCATCGCGAGCCAAGTCCTTGACTTCCCCTCCTTGCCTGCTGCTCCCGGCCAGAGGCACTTAGCCTGCCACTTCTTTCCAATCTTGTGCCAGCGGCACTTCGCACATTTGTCCGCGCCCAGTGCACATCTGCTAGCATGCAACTTCAACAGCCGCGGAGGCAGAAACATGATGCCATCGTCCGCCATGGCACCTTGCTGAAGCTCTGCTTCCCAATCAGATTGGGAAGCACAGCTTCAGCATCAGAGGAGCACGCGGGTACCACCACCGTGTCTCGCTGGTGAAATTTGAGCCAAAAGGCACATATTTCAGTCGCAATGGGAAAATTTAATGGGGATGCTCTGTATCTCACCAGGGGAGGGGAGAGAAGGGGAGGAGAGGGGAAGGGAGAGTTTAGAGTTTAGGGTTCGGGAGGGCTTAAGGTTTAGGGGTTCAGGGTTTAAGGTTATATAAGGGTTTGGGGCTCAGGGGTTAAGGGCTCAAGGTTTAGGGTTTAAGGGTTTAGGGGTTTTGGGAACTAGTATGGTTTAAGGTTTAGGGTTTTGGGCACAGGCTTAGGGCTTGAGGTTTAAAGAACCTGAACTCTGCACCCCCCAAACCCTAAACTCCAAACCCTGCACCCTCAAGCCCACGCCCTAAGACCCCAACCCTAAACCCTGATCCCCAAACCCTAAACCGTAAAACCTGAATACCCTCAGCCCCAAACCCTGCATCCTGAAGCATAAACCGTAACCCTAATCCCTAAACCTTCAGCCAAGACCACGCTTTTCCCATCCAGAATACTGATCCCTCCAGACGTTCGCTGAATTTTGCCTGCACATATCATAATTGCCAATGCTCGTGCTTAGCAACACTGTGCTCAGCTCCGTCAGTCCTGTGGTACCACCAACAGGTGCTTGCCGCAAAAGCATTTAAGCCTAGTCATGGTACAAAATAGAAAAAACCATAGCTACGTTTGCTTGCACAGTGTTGCACAAAACACTTTCAACCAAGGTACTTGCAAGGAGTTGACGCAAAAAAATTTTGCAGTTCTGCTCTGCAGCGCGTTCCCGACTTGGGTCACCTGTGGTACCACCAACAGGTTCCTGTCAACACCTTACACGCTTGACGTAGTTGGCTTGATCTTCTTGCAATCCGAAGCTGCTGGCACCTCGCGCCAAGCACCTGATTTCCGCATCAGGCCTGGCTTCTGAGCCATGCTGAGAGGATAGTGCCACTTCTTATGCTGGCCCATGACGCTCCTCACTTTTAAAGTGATTTGCTACTGCGGGAGAATGCTTAACCAAAATGGCTTCCAGGGAACAAGATGTCAAGCTGGCACTTAAAACGCTTTTGCAACGGTGGGGGAGGGGGAGGGAAAGGGGAAAGGGCTCCACAGCTCCACAAACAATCAAAGCCGAACCCTGAAACCTAGAGGCCAAACCCTAAGCAATCCTAAACTAAACCTTAAACACAGCCACACAGCACACACACACACAGACACACATCACAACCCTGAGCCTATAGTGCCGAAACAACAAGACTTTGACTAGCAACTGGGCCCCTGGAATCCCACAACCCTCAGCCTAAACCGTAAAGCTTAAAGCAAGGCTGTACAAATCCGGCTTCCTGTACAGGAGAAGAAATGGAAAACAGGGGGGAGAGGGGATGGGGAGGGTTTAGAGTTTAGGGTTCGGGTTTAAGGTTTAGGCCTAGGGTTTTTTGGATTTAGAGGGCTTAAGGTTTAGGGGTTCAGGGTTTAAGGTTAAGGGTTTGGGGCTCAGGGGTTAAGGGTTCAAGGTTTAGGGTTTAAGGGTTTAGGGGTTTTGGGAACTAGTATGGTTTAAAATTAAGGTTTAGGGTTTTGGGCTCAGGCTTAGGGCTTGAGGTTTAAAGAACCTGAACCCTGCACCCCGCAATCCCTAAACTCCAAACCCTGCACCCTCAAGCCCACGCCCTAAGACCCGAACCCTAAACCCTGATCCCCAAACCCTAAACCGTAAAACCTGAATACCCTCAGCCCCAAACCCTGCATCCTGAAGCATAAACCGTAACCCTAATCCCTAAACCTTCAGCCAAGACCACGCTTTTCCCATCCAGAATACTGATCCCTCCAGACGTTCGCTGAATTTTGCCTGCACATATCATAATTGCCAATGCTCGTGCTTAGCAACACTGTGCTCAGCTCCGTCACTCCTGTGTTACCACCAACAGGTGCTTAAAAGCATTTAAGCCTAGTCATGGTACAGAATATTAAAAACAAAACCCATCGCTACGTTTGCTTGCACAATGTTGCAAAACACTTTCAACCAAGCATGTTTGGGAGGGGCGCGTTCCCGACTTGGGTCACCTGTGGTACCACCAACAGGTTCCCGTCAACACCTTACACGCGCCCCTCCCAAACATCAAGGATTCTGCAGCGCGACCGGCCCAGAGCCCTTTGGTCGTCCTGGGACAAGCCAGCATTTTGGCAGCGACTGCATGGGCCACACTTGTGCCTTGCCCAGTCCCCCGCCCACTCTGTGATATTTGTGACTGCCGGAGGAGCCATCACCTGATCCGGTGTCGCTACCAACGCATAGTGCAAGGCCGCGCCCAAGCAAACTGAGCGATGGTTGCCGTTCCGGCAGTACACCGCGATAACGAAATTGCCCATGTGCATGTTCAACACAGCGTTTTCGTTCAGCCAGTTGTGCAAAGAACCTAGCGTCTCATTGAACTTGGCCGACCGCGTCAACTTCTCCATAGTCAGCGGAAAGGTGCCCACGTGATCGTTGGCATTGGTTCCGCGGACCTTGCCTGCCGGGGCCCACCCTAAACCCTGATACCCCTAAACCCTTAACCCTAAACTTCCCTTTAACCCTAAACCCCAGACCCAAAATCTTTAACCCGCAGCCATACACCCTAAACCCGAGAACCTGAGTTCCCTAATCCCGTCCTGGGAGGTCTTCTCCCAGCGGCCGCGCGTCCACGCAGAGCACCCTGTCGAACCTGCCCAGGCCGAAGCACTCGCGCAGCACGGTTTCCAAATCGTTGTGGCTGATCTCTTCGTAGTTCTTCGCCTTTTGCTTCATGTTCCAGAGCAAGTTCTTGCACCAACCTCTCATCCTGAAGGGGTTTGGAGTCTTGGGTTTTGGGTTTGAAGGGTTTAGGGTGTCAATAGGATTTCGGGTATGGACTTTGGGGTGCAACGCTGGGTCTGGGGCCAGGCTTAGGGCTTATAGGGTTTCGCGATCCCGTTCGCCCATCTACCCTCCGTCCTCCCGATGCTAAGCGCCTGTGGCAGCGTGTGCAGCAGGTTGCGGGCCCCGAAAGTCAGGATGCGAATCGGATTGTACTTCGGAGGTCGCTGCGTTCTCAAGCTTCTGGGGGGCTCTGTACCCCCGGGTACCACCACAGGGGGCTCTTCCCGGCCTGCTTGCTGCCATCGTGCGAGGATCATGTTCGGTCGCCGGCCAAAACCAATCTGCGCCATGACATCCTGAGCTTCTGCCTCGCTTGGCGGCTTGTCCTCTGGACAGTTTCGCCACCAAATCGACCTGCTCAGCTTCTCCTCGCTCCGGGCCTGGTTCCTGTTGTTCATCTGGCCCCACCTCGTTCCTTGATACTGCTCCGCGACGTTCTGCACTTTGGCTTGACCTCTTGCCACCTTCTCATCTGCATCGTTCGGCAAGCTGTGGCCGGCGTCGACCACGGCGAAGCGGAAGTAGATGAAGACCCCCATCTTCTCTATCCGCTTGGAGAAATCGATATCCTGATAGCCTGTAGGCAACAGGCTTTCATCGTAGCCGCCGGACATGATGAAACAACGCTCTGTGCAACCCACCCGCCCTGTGACTCCTGAATCATGTCCTTGGGCTCGAAATCCCCAAAAGCCGGTCGGCTCCACTCCCTCCGGCGCCCGGCACTCCACATCTGGGAGGAACGTGCAGGGCACCACGTTGTCGGCGTCAAGGTTCACCAGCAGGTGGGGACGGGTACCACCACGGTCCCCACCCGCTGTTTGGCCTGGTGCTCTTGCCGGCCAGGGCGTGCTCAATGCCAGCTTGTGCGCGGCATTCTTGCACTTGCAGGAATGGAAACCGTCAATGCCGTCCATGGTGGCCAGGACCAAACATCCCCAGCCGATCAAGTCCTCGTAGAAATGCTGGATGAACGTCAACGTCTTCTGACCATCCTCCGTGTTGGAGTTGAAAATGATGATCACGAACCGGACGCTGCCTGACATCAGCAGACTCCATTGCGTGGCAACGTTCATTGCCAACGCGCTGCGCAGCTGGAAACCTCTCTCCATGCACGTCGTGCAGAAGCTCACGCGGTAGGTCTTCAGCTGGTTCTGGTCACAGGGTGACTTTCGGAGTTCAAGGGTTGAGGGTCTACGCTTTAGGGGTTGAAGGTTTACGCTTTAGGGCTTAGGGTTTATAAGGTTTATGGTTTAGAATTTAGGGTTTATAATAAGGTTTTGGGCTTAGGGTTTCGGGTTTACGGTTTAGGCTTTCGGGCTTCGGGGTTTAGGCTTTAGGCTTTAGGGTTTAAGGTTTTAGGGTTTACGGTTTATGGTTTAGGGTGTAGGGTTAGGGTTTGAGCCTTATAGGGCTTAAACTGAGGCTTTAACTGACTGAAGACTCAAGGCTTTCAAGTCCGCTGCAGTCCTCCGGCTCTGGCCTGAACATGGCACATCTCGCCCAGGTCTCCACGTCAGCGGTCCGATCGTATAGCCTAGCTGCGTCGAGGGCCACAATAGCTGCGCGGTGGAAGCTGAGCTGAACCCCCCCCTTGGCTAAACGATAATGCATTGACAACTATCCTCCTCCATTCTTGCAAAGCAACATGGGAAAAAACAAAGGAAACCTTAACTTACTGTACACAGCGCCTAAGCCTTGAACCATCTGCACGTAAATTCACTTTCTCTTCCAAGGGTCCTTGGAGAGTTGCTCTCGCCAGGCGTGCTCGTCAGTGGTCACGCCAGCAGCTGCCCTTGCATCTAGCTCTGGGTCGTCGTCCAGCGTCTCCTCGTCAAAGAACTGTTTCACCTCCACCAGCTTGAGCGGGGCAGAACTCCCCGAGGCACGCGGGCTTTCTTGTCGGCTCTTTTTGGCTCGCTGCTCGCCTGCCTCCTCGCTTGCTGGCTTGTCATCGTCCGTGTCCTCGTCGTCCGAAGGCGACCAGTCAGGCTCTTCCTCCTCGACATCATTGTCTTCCTCACCTGCGGTACCACCAGCAGGCTCCTCATCGCTTGCCCTGCCCTGGCTCGCGGCGCCAGCAGCAGACTGAGGCATCGCTCCCGCCGGGACCGGAGCATCGCGGTCCTTGACGGCCGGAGGCTTGACCCCGGCCCAATCAGCGTCGGGCAGCATTTTTTTGGATTCTTGCCACAAGAATCGGAAGGCTTCCCAGGCTTTGGCGCCTTTGACTGTGACGTTTTGGCGCCCGTGCCGCATGACTCTCAGCTTCACGCGACAGCCGAAATCTTCTTCAATAACCTGACGCAAGTTCCGCCAGCACGGTTGTGGCGGGTAAGCCGCCATGGCCACAGGCCACGAAGAAAACACATACTGCTCTGGGGGATAATCGCTCGTCCACTCCGTTGTGCGCGTCTCAGGGGTACCACCACCCTGAGACTCGCGCTGCCCATGGTGGTCACCTCCGCTGGTGTTGCTAGGCCAGCCACCGCTGTCCCAGCCCCAGCCGTCCCAGCCACCGCTGCCCCAGCCCCAGCCGTCCCAGCCGCCCCAGCCACGGCTGCCCCAGCCGCCGCTGGACCAAGTGTGCCACGCCATTGCTGACTACACCAGACCTATTAAGGCTGCTACACCACAAACAATGCAACCTGACGTGTATGGCTCGATACAACCTAAACCCTAAACCCTATTTAGGGCTTAAAGTTTAGGGCTTAGTTATTAAGGGCTTAAGGTTCTGGCTTGATCCTTGAAAGGGTTTAGGGCTTAGGGTTCGGGGTTTCGAGTTTAGGAGTAAGTCAAGAATTCGCGTACAGCACGTGCATGGAGCCGCTGCAGGCGGGCGAACGAGATCATTGCAGGAAATCTTAAACCATCCTGAATTTTGTGCCCGAAGCCAACCTAAAAAGGAAACCAGAAACCCTCAAAAGCACCTTAGTAAATGCCTAAGAGAAGGTGCACAACAAGCAGGGGAGGAAACACGGGACCCCAACTTAATTCCTGACTCTGAAAAAGCTTAAACGTGAGACCGTAAATCCTAAACCTTAAACCTACCTAAACCCTAAGCACTCAGCCAGCCCACGCCCTGAACCCTAGACCGTAATCCTAAGCCCTAAATTTAAAACGAAATAAACCCCGAGAGGTCATTTTAACCCTAACCCGCCGCGTGCCCTAAGCCCTGTTAGGCTTAAGCCTGAAGCCCAAAGCCCTAAACCCTGAACCGAAACCCCAAGCCCTAAGCCCTAAGCCCGAAGAAGGGGAGAGGAGGAAAGCCTTAGTTACAGGGAAAGGGGGACAGGGCGAGGTGCTCCAACTAAGCCTAAAGGCCCAGTTGTTCCAATCAACCGAAGGAAAAATTAAACCCCAGGTGCTCCAATTAGCCTACGCCCTATAAGAAAACCTAAACCATAAGCCTAAAACCTAAACCCTAAGCCCTACCGTGCCCTAAGGCCTACCAGTTACCGTGCCCTAAGCCCTACCCACCGTACCCTAACACCTAAACCTCAGCCCTACCGTGCCCTAAGACTTCAACCCTAAGTCACCCCATGCCCCCAAACCATCCAATGCTCCCGTGCAAGGCCGTGCAGGTTGGGGTTGCCAGGGCATCTTATGAAACCTAAGCCCCACTGGCCAGGCCGTGCTCCAATTTACCGAAGGGGGGGTCGGTAAATTGGGACCAAATATAGGGCCATACTGGCGTTCTGGCGGGTTCTGATAGAGGGGTTCTGGGGGCCAATTTCGTGACCGTCCCCTCCCCCTCCCCCCACCCCCCGCCCCTCTCTTTTTGCCTCGGAAAGGGCAGCTCTGTCGCAGCCATGAACTGTGTGCAAAAATGGCGTGGTACCACCAACGCCGCACACCAGCACTCCTCAATTTTGCTGGTTTCGGGTTTAGTGTTTATAATCTTTAGGGTTTTTCTCGGATTTTCGGTTTAGGCTTTAGGGTTCAGGCTTGAGGGTTTAGGGTGTACGGTTGAGGGTTTATAAAGGTTTAGGGCTTAGGGTTTCGGGTCTACGGTTTAGGCTTTAGGGTTTAAGGTGTAGGGTTTTGGGTTTAAGGTTTAGGGTTAGAGCACATGATGATGTTGCTCTCCGCCGTGGTACCACCAACGACGGTCGAGCTCGGCACAGGCAGCGCCAGCGCAGCGCCAGGAACTTCAGCGGCCTCGTTTGCCATCGCGACACTGCCCGGCCCGTCTGTGGTACCACCAACAGAGGCCATGTCCATGCCGTCTTCCGGGGCCATCGTTGATGTCAGTCTCAGCCACTCGCGGAGTGCCTAGACCAGCAGTCATCTCGGCATCGGAGACTTTCAAAGTCAAACTCAGCCGGCAAGTTCTCCCCCAGTGGCTCAGACATGCTGCGACGCACACACACACACACACAAACACACGCACGCGCCCTCTGAAGAACAGCTGTCACACTCCTGCTCGTCGTGCTTGAGACGGCGCGGGAAACGATCGCACTAGTCAGTAAAGGTTCTGGACTTATGCCTGCAGCCTTGAAGATTCAAAGTTTCAGGTGTTTTGGGTTTACAATTCAGGCTTAAGTGGAGCATACATATACATAGTTGCCGGCTGTTTTTTTTTAACTTGTTTATTTCTTCCAAGCAGGCCTGGTGCGCAAGACAACAAACAGCCTTCCAATGCCCGAATTTTTTTTTGACTTTTGGATTTTAACTGGAAAAAAAGCCGAAATGCAAAAGTCAAAAAGCAGCACAAGACCAAAAGGCAACACAGGCAACGGACTAAACAGCAGCAAG